TGGGAGAGTGTGTGCATGTGTGTGTGTGCATGTGTGAAAGGAGTGCATGCATGTGTGTGTGTGTGCAAGTGTGAAAGGAGTGCATGCATGCGTGTGTGCATGTGTGAAACGAGGAGTTGTAGGAACACTGCTGTACTTCAAAATCTGAGGAGGAACTGAGAGGAGTCAAAAATGAGAGGCAGAGTGAAGAGCCCTTTGGAAGAGTTGAAGACTGGGAATGACCAGAAAGGCATAGGGACCTTCGTCCATGAGAAAGTTCCACGACTGATCTCAATTCTATTCTTTTAAAAAGTGCTACATATTAGATGATGTTATTCATTTTGGTAGGTGTGAGAGTGGAATGATCATATGTAAAAGATATACCATATATAAAGACCACATGTACATATATAAAACCATATACAGTGGTGCCTCAGTTCACGAACTTAAATTTATTTTATTATTGGGTGGAAGATGGCCATATTTGTGTTTGACACGTGATGCGGAGTTCAATAGAAGCAAAATTCTGCCTAATACTTTTGTTTGAGAACCAAATTATTTGAGAGCACAAGTGTTTGTGAACTAAGGTACCACTGTGTAGGTGTATATTCTTATCATTTAGAGGTGGTCTCTGAAGTAAAATGATTTCCGCAGATTGAGGGAGCTCAGGGAAAAGATAAAACTTTGGAGCAATGCAATGTAACATAAAATATCTAAAGAAGAAAACCTGGCCACAAACAAGTACAGAAGGTATGAAAGAGTGACAGAATACTTAAACCATCTTACTAACTTTGGGAGATATTACTGGATACAGTGATAGCACTCATGAAAGGAAAACCAATTTCAAAAATAAGATTCTAGGGGGCTGGGGATTTAGCTCAGCGGCAAAAGCGCCTGCCTGGCAAGCGAAAGGTCGTGAGTTCGGGTTCCCGGTACCGGAGAAAAACCGAAAAAAATAAAAAAATAGGATTCTATTTCTTACAGTAAAAGATACCGTTTACATGTTTTAATTTTATGTAGGATAACTGGCATGGTTAATTATATAGCAGATGCAAGTATTTAAGCAAGGAAAAGGTAGGACTGATAAATGTACATAAGTGGGCAAAACCTGCTAAGTTAAACCTCTTTTCCTCCCCATCCGGAAAAAAAATTTCTTAGCAATCAACAATCTCCAATTATTTAACAGAATTGCAAATGTGCATTAAAAATGTCACTCTGACCTTTTAAATTAAAAAATAAGTTTAGCACGGCACCGCAGACAGGCTCTGTCTAGCCTAACTAATGGGCCGACTAACACAGCGCTCAAATTGGAAATTAGAAATGTTGAAATGTACCGAATAATGAGCTTCAATTACTGTCTGGATGATTTCTTCTCACATTAGATCCCAATTACCCATTCCCATGTGAACCGTGGAGACCTTATCCATAAAAGACTCTAGGTGTTTTTTTTTTTTTAAGATATATAACAAACAAAGCTATCAGAAAATCCTCAACAGAAACAGAGAATGGTTTCCTTATGGCTTGAAAGATACTGCCAAGATTCCCTTTAAGGTTCACTTAGATGGCATTCAAGTGAGAGTCCCATATGGAATTACTCCCCACACAGGAGCCTGACCTGGGGGAAGCCCAAGAAAGTAGGGATTATTTTTAAACTCCCAAAGCAGGGGCTGTTTTACATTTCTCCCATCCTGGATCTAATTCCACTGGTAAATACAGCACATACAGCATGCCAAGAAGCACCCCAGAGGGTCATTCCTGACACTGTAAGGCAGAGGCCGGTAGCCCTGGATAGCTGGATAGGCCTAGAAGGCTGCCTTGGTTCCTGGGAGCTGGGGGTCGCCATGATCAGCAAGCCAGCCAAACGCAGACTGATCTCAGGAGATGCACACCCGTGCTTCAAAACAACTTAGAGAAATCCTCGGTGTCCTGAAGGGCAGTCTTCTTCTCAGAAAACTTGCAGGCAGTTTCCCTTCAAATGAAGGAAACGCATAATATATTATTCACAACCAGTCCCTTAAATGAAGAAAACACACAATGTGTCTGCAGAGACACATTAAAACCAAGCCCTTAAAGCAGTTACTGCTGTTATATCTTGGTTCTTGGCTGAGTGAACTCTGGCTGGTTTTTATCCAAAGAGGAAGGAAACTTCTCCAGGGAACAAAACAGAATATTTAATGATTATTATGAAAAAGTAATACTTCTGTTTGGGCTCATAACCTGAAAATGTTTGGTGAAAATACGTATAATTTCTAATTGCTTATTTAAGTCATTTATATTCTGTTCATTGAAAACACTGCCAAAAATTCAAATGTCATAGAGAACCCATAAGAATAATTTGCCTCGGAGCCAGGCATGGTGGCACATGCCTATAATCCCAGCACTTGGGAGGCTGAAGCAGGAGGATCATTGCAAGTACAAGACCAGCCTGGGTTACTAAGTGAGCTCAAGGCCAGACTGAACTGTGTAGTGAGAACCTGTCTCAAAAAAAAGGCAAAAATAATAATAGTAATTTGCCTCTAAACTTACTATACTCTCGACTTCTTGGTACCATGTTTTTGTAAAAGAAACAGCAGAACACTCATTTAGCAAAAAGGTAAATGTGTGTTAGGAAGAATCAGGCTTGGCTCCTTTTCCCCTCAGGTTGCTCATGAATCAGAGTAATTACGGAGAAGAGGAAACCCCAGCCCAAAAACCATACATGATGCTACCAGATCCACCATTTGAATGGATCAGGTGATCAGTTTTTATATAACCACCTTATGGACAATGTTTTTCTTCACATTATCATCATCATCATCATCATCATCATTATTTAAGGAACGCGGAATGAAGTGATACAAAGTTTCAGAGCAAACCTACCTGGGTTCAAATATCATCACCATTACTTACTAGCTCTGTGACTAACTCACTTCACCTCTCTGCATCTCAGGCCCCTCAGTCATGGAATGGGCAGTACTGTAACCTCCCTCTATGATGAGAGATGAGTCTCCTTACTCAGACTTCTCTGAGGCTCTGAGTTTAGTGCAGCTCATGACAGTTCAATAGTTGTCCCTTTTATGATTATTCTCAAAGCACATAAGGAAAATCAAAGACCCATTGCCTGTGTTTTCTTATAACACCTTGCAATGACAGCCTTAGTCTCTATCCCGTTCAGGATACATAACAGATATTTGCTGTGGTTTGGATTTTTAATGACCCCAAAGGCCCCTGTGTTAAAGGGGTCCTAGTCCTCAGCTTGGAGCCACTGGGAGGCGGTGTCACTTATCAAGAGGTGGGGGCTGATGGGAAGTCTTCCAGTCAGTGAGGATGGGCCATAAACAGTGGACTCCAGCCTCCTCCACTTTCTCTTTGTCACTTCCCGACCACTCCCCACCATGATGTGCTGCCTCACCAGAGGCCCAAAAGTAAGAGGATCAACCAATTGACCTCCTTGGACTGAAACCTCCAAAAAATTGAACGAAAACAAACAATTATCTCAGTTATTTGTTATATAGTAATACCTCGGTTCACAAACACTTCTGTTCGCAAATAATTCTGTTCTCAAAAGCCTTGGGCAGAATTTTGCTTCCAGTCACAAACTCTACATAATGTGACAAACACAAGTACACTCATGTTCCCCCACATGGCAAAACAAATTAAGTTTGTGAACTGAGGTACCACCGTAGTAATGAAGGCTCACAATATTCAATAAATTGTGGATTCCAAGTAGTTATTTGGAAAAATAAAGTAGGTGAAAATAATTTTATTTTGAGGAATAAAAGTATTAATAAAAATTAAAACTGGGGGGCTGGGGATTTAGCTCAGCAGCAAAAGCACCTGCCTGGCAAGCTCAAGGTCATGAGTTCGGTTCCTGGTACCAGAGAAAAACCAAAAATAAAAATAAAAATAAAAAAAATAAAAAATAAAAATAAAATAAAATAAAAATTGAAACTGGGACAAAAGCACTAAAACAAGTATTTTAAAGAATCATGTTGGGAAATTTCTGATAAGTGCTCTGATAGCAACAATGAAATTCTAATATTTGGTTCGGCTTTGTTAAAAAGCTTCCTGAAATGCAAGCACTGTTTCCATTGAATTGGAAAGATATTATGTAGGCTTGCTGAATTGGCCAATGGCAATTTCTAGAGGAAAAAGAAAACATAAAGGAAAATATGAAAACATTTAAGAAAGAAGTATAGAAAATATATTTTTCTCTTTGACTTTAGCTCCTAATTTTGAATTTTAAAACTACCTTAGATGCCAGAACAAAAATTATTCAGAATATTTTATGTGCTCTTGAATAATAGCAAACTAACTTAGTATATATTACAAACTTTCTTTTCTCTTGGACATTAACAATGTAATGTGCACCTTCAAATGTTTTACTCAGTAAAGTGGAGAAAAGAGCAGGCTATTTAACATGTCCTGAGGAGACACTGAGAAACTGTCCTCCGGCCTAAAAAGAAAAAATTGGACGCATTGCTCAATACAGGAAGTCACCTTTTATTCTTAGGTCTCTTGCCTGTGTGTGTGTATGTGAAGGGGTACCCATTCCAACAGAATCTAAAGCTAAAATAGACCTTGTTTCTTTACAGCACTAATCTTCTGGCTGACAATCTGTTTTGTCCTATAAAGACTTTTCTTTAAATGAATAATTCAGACTCAAACTGTATAATGGTAACTATATTTTAAACCAAAAAAAAAAATTCCTCACATAATAAATACATTTTATGCACATTAACTTCAAATTTACTTCAGAAAGCTATTTACAATATAAATAATTATAAATGGGAACACTTTGCAAGATATCATTGACATAGCTAATATTTTCTACTTTACATTCCAAAGTAAAAGTTCCAATTACAGCTTTATTCTACAATATCACTAAAAACTATACATTGCAAGATGGTATTTGGAATATTGACAATCAGTATCTTCTCTCACAAATATAATCCTTTTTATAGCATTTCAGTCAAAAAGCAAACATAAAATATTTTCTCTTTTTTGAAGTGCCTACTCATATGTTTAATTTTTGAAATAGTTCCCTTTGGAAAAAATGAAAAAAAGTTACAGTACTTCTAAAAAATTTTTCCAGGCCAATTTCATTTCTTCTGAAATGATTTGAGGATTGTTAGGTGTGAATTTAACTGTGATTAAATGTGTCCCACGTCAGCAAATTAAGACAAACGGCTCCCATCTAGGGTTACAAAAGCAAATTCCCATGCAGCAAAGTTGCAATAAATAAAACTACAAATGTTTGGTTTTAAAGTATCAAGTAGGGTTTCTTCTGTGGATGGTTTACATATAAAATTGGATATGGTACATCTTTTAAAATCCCTAAGGTGATACAAAAACCATACCTGGGGGGGCGGTGTATGTGTATCCTTTCTGCGTACAATCTTAGAGAAGGAACTCTGAACAAACACCTATTTGGAAATGAGTACAATCTCACCTTTAAGCACTACCCGTACAATCTTTGTGCACAAGAAATGGGCACCACACAAAAATTTTCCTCAAGAACATTTTCTATGTATATCTTTTGCATGTGTCCATGGATGTTCTGTAATTCATTTAAAATTTAGAATGATGCTTTAGCCACAGTTTGTTTCACAGTAAGAATTAGCCAATAGATTCTTTTTTGTTTAGACTTATATCCCTATTCACAAAAGTGACATTTACATGAAAGTTGAATCATTTATTTGGAGGAATGCAGCATTTGCATTCTTTTTAAGTCACTGTGATCTGAGGATGTTCATCTACATCTATGATTTCAGTGAACCAGGGAGCCAAATCTTGGCATCCAAACTTTTAAAATCAGGACTGTATTAACGTGTAAGCTATTCCTCCAGACAAGGCGAGTCACTCTCAGATGGATACTCAGTTTTCTAAATACCAGCATTCACTCTGTCACTCCCAAGTACGACTAGTACTAACAGATTGCACTGAATTTCTTAATAACACCCTACTCTTGAAAGAGACAGAGAGAGCTGTAAAATATCTAATCTGCATTCAGAATGTCTCTTGAGCTGTATTATCTTCGATCAAACTAATTTGGTCTAGGTCTTGGGGGAGGGGCTCTTTCATTTCATTTTAAAATATCCACACATATTTTCCAAGTGATTTTTGTATTAGAATTGATCTTCATCTTTCACTCTAAAAAAGAAAGAAAAATGGGACATATTACCTTTTTCTACCAGGTCCCACTAAAACTTATTTTAAGTAGGATTCTCTGCCTAGAGGTAGCATGTAGCAGCAGGGTGTAGAAAGAATTAAGAACGGAACCCAGTGGAAATATCATAGCCCTGTAAAAAATACAATCAGTAACTAATAAGTGGGTTTTCCATATAAACACTGAAGGTGAGTCATTTATTACATCTCATTTTGAATGTCCCATCAGCACTGTCATAACATCTTGTATCAGGCAATTACAGTTTAGAAAAACTAGCACATTAGATTCAGCATAATATGCCAAAAGACTTTTGGGGCTGAAGCACACTTAAATATCTGGTCTGCAGTGACTACGATCTTAATATCATGTATCCAAAACTAATTCATCCAATCAATATATTCTCAATAATGGTTTTAACACAATTTTCCCCAAGGAATATTGGGAAATATTCATTTGGTTTTTTGGTCATCCAAATTTTCAAATTGGGTAAAACAGGCAAAATGGGCAACATATCTTTTTACTATTACTAAAGAACATCAGCTTGGTGACATCTAATAAATTGCTACATACTGTACCAGGATAATTGGATATAGCAAATTTTTATGAATGCCCAAAGTGATATAAAAAGCATATCTTTTTCATTCAATGCCATGGTTTTTAGCATTTTAGCATAATTATGGAAATCAAAGATAAAAATAAAGCCAGTATAGACAGACATGGTGACACATCCACTCTAGAGGATCACCACAAGGTCGAGGCCAACCTGGACTACATAGGGAGTTCTAGGCCAGCCTCAACTACAGAGTGAGACCCTGTTTCATCCCCTCCAAAAAGCCAAGTTAAGTTTAATTTTTAACTGATTTAATTACTCGGAACATATGTATTTTACATCCTATGTTTTTAAGATACAGATGACATCATGTTTATGAGGAAACATGCTCCTGAACAGAAAAAATAAATTATAAATATATTTTATACATCTACATGAATAGTGGGAAGTTGCCTTGTCATAAAATGTCAATTTATTTTGGACCATTTTGCAATAATCATGCCATATTGCAAAAAATGTAAGGTATGTAACACTGAGTCTCTAATGCATAGTGTGTGATCTAATAAAATTATCGACACTCAGGACATTAAATAAATGGTTATGCATTTTAAACTGGGTCAATCTATCAACATTTTTAAGCAAGATGTAATTTAGGCCAGGTGCGGTGGCACATGCCTATAATCCCAGCTCCTTGGGAGGCTGAGACAAAAGGATGAAAAGTTCAGGCCCAACCTAGAGAACTGAGTAAGAACTTGTTTCAAAAAATAAAAAGGGCTAGGTGGGTAGCTCATCGTCAAGACCTAGGGTTCAATCCCCAGGACCAAAAAGAAAGAAATTTAGTTAATTCTGTCTTCCATTAAAAATATTGAGCATACCACTTTAAGAAACCTTCTTCCTCCTGATTAACGCCTATCTTTGGGAGTTCATAATTTATTCCTTCCACTAATTAACTATTTGCCATATAAAAAAATGTCACTGAAGTCCCCTTAGTAACAGGTTTTTTTAAATTATCAGTTCATTTCCTTGGTTTTCAAGCTTCCATTGCTCTAATAATATCTATTGCTGCCACATTTGGGTGAATACATCCATCAGTACAACCCACTGATAGAGATTTCCTTTCCAAATCTGTCATATTTGTCAGATATTTTTGTCTTTGAAATGTTTCTCCATCTACACAATTTTGCAAAATCTGTAGCATTCCTAATACCTTATTTGATGCAAACTGACAAAAATCTATTTTAAATTTTCTGGGGGGTTCTCACAAATAATTTTCTCAAAGTGACTCAATAATTTTTCTTATATAGTTTAAAATTTAGTTTTTGTTGTACTTGGAACATTTTTGAAAGTATACACAATAACTACTACCTTTCTCACCTACTTGCACCTTTTTGTATTTACACTGGCAAATGTTCTCCCACACCCAAGAAAGCTATTTAATTTTATACAGCCTCTTCACTCATGTACAAACAACCTGGTGTTCACCTCTCAAAATATCATCATGCAGACTGTCACCAACCTATGAACTGTCAAATACCCATATTAAATGTTGAAATTATACTACTAATCCCTAAGGGTCCAATGTCATGTTCTGTTTTCAAAATTGTAGATCAAATTCTTTCAGTGCATACCCTTCTTGGAATGTGGAAAGATTTACAGGAACGGGACCCTTATGAAATACTATCAGTGAAATTTCTCTCATCATTCATGTCATTTTGCTTGGATTACTGGAGAACCTCGTATTAAAGAAATGTTAGTATTTTTCTCCCCCTTAAAAATCTTCTATCACCTAAATTTTGGCTGGATCTAAGAGAAAGTTTACTGTGACCACACCTGCTTAATGAACCCAGACACCTGCTTAGTACTACACAGCTGTAACACCAAGTTTGTTGTTTCATTGTTTACAAACAATAAAGAAAACAAACATCTGGCTGTTCCTTCGGTCAGAAGCTCCTACTCCTCTCCCCTTTTCAAACACTTGTCTATTTGCCTAAGCTTTCATCTTAGATTCTCTCCAGAGGCTTTCCACATGCTGACACACTGACACATCTGTGCTTTGAAATATTTTTAAACACTTATACGGCATACAGCATGTCCTACAGCACGTCACTGGCTTTCCTTAGTTGCTTTCGCACTTCTCAACCTTTTTTCTTGGGGAATTGGTTTGAATGTTTTTATCTCATTGGTTTTGTTAGCAATCCCAAAATATATTGTTTACCTATTCTGAGCATTAAGTTGTTTGTGTGAAGATGTAATTTCATTCCACTCTGCCTCTGGTCTTTCCATCCTTACTAAACTACCTTCCAATTGAGCACACCATGTTTTTGATGTGTCTCCCAACATCTCAATGCTGTTATTTAGAAAAACCCGTACTGCTATGTCAGTGTGAACCTAGTCCTTGTCTAACTCAAAAGTAAGGTGAAAAATCACCACTTCCTGATTGCTTATAATGGATACCAGGTGAAAATTCATTCTTGCACCACAGCCAGAACCAGTTCTCTAATTTATGCCTGAACCAAGTGGGCTGATTTGTTTGAAATCACAAAGAAGCCAGCTTATAAGACACATCCCTCTCTTCCTTAGTTACGTTGGGAACAGAAATTCATTTAAGAACCTTAATGTGGTAGAGTTAAGGAAAGGTACCCATTTGGGGTATACTTATGGCATATGTTCTCTAATTCTGCATGTAACGTGTACACAGATGTTTGTGAACAACAGTCTGTGTCTATGGATTTCACTGGATCACCACAGTACAGTGTCATTCATCAGCCCTTTCACGTGGAGTACATGTTTGCTTGATTTACATGAGCACTTTACCATTCAAAATATACCTATTCTGGTTCTCATGTAGTTAGAGGGGCAATTTATGTGTTCACGTTAGCTCCCTGTATATAACCCTGAAAGTTAGTGTTATTTTCTTCTTTGATTTCACAGGAACACGTGTCAAATACCCATTCATTGTTATCCTAACAATCTGTGGCATACTAAATGCTGGTAATGGGGCATTAAACTATAAATATGTTTCCAAGATCCTTGAAGAACAAAGTTTTTTCCAAAGGAAAAAAAAAAAAAAAAAAACATCAGCTTCCATTGGTTATTATAACAGATGTTCCCTTGTGTCCTTGTGCTGGGTCTGGCTGCATCCTCAGATGGGAAGTTACATCAAAGTGTGAGCCGTTACAGCCCAAGGAATAGTTTCTAATGGTTTCACTGTCATATAAGTGCTCCAGGGCATAACCAGTTAATGTGTAAGCATGCTTATCAAAATATTGCCGGTGAGAGCCAAAGCAATTTGGAGAAACAGCAGCATGGTCTCCCGCCGTCTGATGAGGAGACATATCCGAATGCAGATAGTCTTTAGCTAGGATTAAACTGGATTTTGAAATGCGGTCAGAATTGGGACTACTTATCCGAGACAGTGCAGTGGGACTATTGTCATAGTCATTTTCATGGGGGCTCAGCATCTTTCCCTCCCTCTGCTGGATGTGATCACACGGTGAAGTATTGGCCAAAGCAGAGGTGTGGCAGACTTCACCTGTTGGTGTGGGCTGGGGGTAGTTTGCAAAACAGAGGGAGTGTTTTTTCCCTGCTCCGTTCATGGACGCCAGTTGGTCTGAGGGGGCTTTTCTTAGTTGCAATCTGTTCTCTTCTTCTTTAATCATTTGCTGGGTAGCTCTTATCAGAGTTTCAATTTTGCTAGGTTCATGTGGGCTGCTCTGATACTGTTCAGTGCGATAGCGGTCACCTGATTCACTGGCTGAGCCAGGGTCTGGAGAGCTGACCACACTATCTTCATCCCAATGACCTCGCCCTAGAAATCGGAAAAAGCGAAAAGTAAGTGACCTCAAAATTCACCAAAGGGAAAAGAGTACTTTTTTCCTATGAAAAGAAACCTATTTTTTTCATTTTTAATATATGTACCAATATTTGAAACAGATATGGGCCTATATGATGGTGTCAATATATTATACTGGAATTTACATTTAAATCACTAATGGGAAGGTGAGTTTTACAACAAATATCAGAAGACAAACCTTGCTCATGGGTTCTGTATGCCAATTAGTGAAATAGTAAATTGTGATTATACCTGCTTCCTCAATTATGCATCTTATTAGACCTTTCCAGCTGCAAATCATAAAAAGAAGATACACAGAACATGATTTATGCTACTTTTAGAGCAGTGTAATGTTAGACTTATGCTTAGAAATTTTCAATTAAGTTTCAGGAAAATAATTACACAGGCTGAATTGCTCTCTGTATTCTAAATCATTGAAAATGTTAATATTGCTCAATATATCTTAAATAGGGTCAGAACAAAGGTATAATGTTTGTCTTTTTAGACAAGTGAAGGTTAAAAAATATTTTCATATCTGTGTGTGCACAGAGGTGTCTATATGCGTATGCATGAATGGACAGAAATGTGGATATAGCTTGTCCTAATTACAAATATAACTAAAACTTTATCAAATATGATGATGTCTCAGCTTCAGAAGTAATCCTCTAAAAACTCAAGTATCTTAGATTGCTTCCAAAATAAGATAAATAATAAATAAATATTCATAATTTTAATGACAATCTGTTCTGGACCAAGGAAAGAGAACTAATACAGAAGAATAGTGTGTCCAGAATGTATTTCATAAGCCAAATTATTCTCTACACAGTCTGAAATCAGTGTAGAAAGAAAGAAAAACAGGTAGGGACATATGAAACCTGTAAACTGCTTAATGCGACAGAGAAGCCTTGGATCACACTACTCATTGCGTTCCTTTTCTCTTTTCTTCTCATTTTATTTCTAAAACTTTCTACCAGATCAGACAGGTTAAGCAAGCATTTTCACTTCACTCCTTTCTGGCAAGTACTTGCCCTTTGCCCTGGGTTTCCAGGACAGACCACTAAAATGTTCCTTGGTTCAAAACAAGCTGTTTACTCAAAAAGCAGAAAAGTAAAAAGCAAGAATGGGAACAAATTAAAATTACTCATAAAAGGCCCAGGTGGCATCTGACAGGTGATTTTAGGGATGGAGACATTACTGTCTAAAGCACATTTCACATCCTAAAGGCAAGAAGAGTAATACTAGGGCCTTCAGATCAATCCTGTCACTGACATTTGATGAAATAGCAAGGTTTTCAAAGGCCTGCCTGCATGCAAGCCTGGAGAGGACAGAGGGCTCTCCTTACCTAGTTCACTTTGACATGAACAAAGAAAAGAATTTACAGTAATGAAAGTTCCATGTATTGATAAAGGGAGATGATAATACCAAAATGAAAATGTCGGTGATTTCTACAAAGCACTCCATCCTTACCTACAGGGGCACTGCGGCTGTCTAGTTATAGGGGGACGGGGCACGTCATTCTCAGAGAGGCCAGAATCTACCACATGAGTGACAGACCGCAAAACAGACTGGTCACCCCAAATGCCTATTGTGACCTTATTGGGAAACACCCCCGTAGCCTACAAACTGGTCACGCCCACCTTCGAGGCAGGGTAATCTAGAAGGAAGTGATACACAAGAGCTCAAACACATACATACTTGAAATTCAACAGAAAATAATTGACCTTCACTTAATTTGTATTCTTTGTCATTTTTTCTCGTCTGGCATACATACATCTATTCGGCGATCACTGTCAGAATTAATAGACTCACACGAAGTAGACTTGACCTTTGTTTTTCGAACTAGCAAATTCTGCTGTTTTTTATTTCTTTCTTTTTGTTGGGGGCAGGGGTGGGGTTGCTCTTCAAGCCGCAAAGCATCCCTCGGGTGTGCCCCCGGTGCCCGCGCACGCAGCCTTACCGTGGATCCGGGGCGCAGAGGCGAGGTGCGCGCCGCCCTCGAAGGCGTCCCTGCTCTCCGGGGAGGCCTTGGTCAGCGGCAGCGCGGCGCGGGAGCCCCACCAGGGCTCCCTCCCGGCCTGCGGCGCTCCCAGGAAGTACCTGCCCGCCTCGCAGCGGCCGCCCTCGCAGGCCTGGCCGTGGAAGTGCCGCTCCTCCACCAGCCGGGCGGGGTCGAGCGCGAAGCCGTAGCAGAGCGCGCCGCGGTCCGAGAGCTGCCGGTAGGCGCAGGACGCGTCGTGCTGCGAGCCGGGGCGCTCGGCCGCGTCCAGGAGCTGCGGGGAGGCCGCGTCGGTCAGGGGACTCCCGCCCCACTGGCTGTCGTGATCCGACTCCGATCTTTCCGTGTGAAATCCCGAATACTGAAACCCAGAGCGGGGAAGGCCGTTTCAAAAATCAACGAATGCGTTCAATGAATAAAGGCAGCCTTTACGCGCACGCACCCCTTAAAGTCATGCGGGCCCAACCAGGTCCCGCTCCCGCGCTGCTGGGCACCTGTAACTTGGAAGCCCTTAATCAGATGATGCCTCCGTAGCACATCCTTGGGCTGTCAAGGGAAGGAATAACACGGCAGACACTAACTGAAGTCCTTGGCACCGGATAAAGTGGTGCGTGTGACTTACGCCAAGCAATTCTTCCAAACCCTTGAATGGTGGTATTGGTGCCCCCAACTTCTGGACAGGAAAGCTAAGGGCCAAAGAAGGAAAATAATTTGCCCAAGACCACAAGGTCAGCAGGTATGGGAGGGGAAAGAGAAGTGAAAAGAATTAAAAATGAGTTGCACACAGGTCCAACCTCCCAAAATGAACGTGATCATTATGCACTGAAAAAAATGTACTAATAAAAATTTTAAAAATTAAAAAAATTCGAACCCAACTTCGACACTGCCTGAATGGTACTCCCAATAAAAGAATTGCAAGAAAGCTCCGTATTTTATGTGTGTTCCTTCCTCACTTTTCCTCTTAATTACAAAAACGAAGGAAAAACTGAGATTTAAGGCATCTATGTGCTGAACTATAATCTTAGATTGTTAACTCTGAATGACATGCCAGGCACATGGTAACAGAGTTAATTTTTACCTAATTCAACCACAGTATAACTTTCCAAAGTCCTGTCCATATAAGCTGGATCTGTACACTAGAATATGACTTTCTAAACTAAAGCTTCAGTTACTCATAGGATTATGGCAGGGGGCGGGGAGACAAGCCACAGGAAACGTTGTCACTGATGGAATCACACTGCTCACCAGCTCCCAAAATATTTGGTCAGGTGATGAAAAAGAATGTGTAAAATGCTCGGAAGGCTCCCTCAGGAACTGTGCTCAGTTTGAAGGTCACCATAAACCACCAAAATGTACAGTGTCATAATTTCTACCAATGTTTGATTTCCTAAGACCAAACACAATTCTCAGTACTACACAGAGATTACCTGCTATGACACTAAAATATGCCATTTATGGAAAATTTACTGCATACCTAGTATCTTAATTATTCCATATACATTATATCACTTATCAGAACCTCTCTGATATTCTGTTAAATAACTCTAGTAGATGCAGAAACTACATCGCTAACGTTGGATGCCACAGCCATCTCATAGTCTGTCTAGTCTTAAAGCTGGCACTCCAAATAATAGTTATAAATTTGAGGTTAAAGTACTGTTAAAGAAAAAGAGTGGAGAGAAAAGGAGTCAATGTTAAAGAGATCGCGGTTGAGAGGCAGGTACTTCTTTACAGTCCCTAGAGCCTAAGTATAAGTCCATTGTACATTCTCTTTCTTAGCCCTTGTGATACTGCAGTGTAGGGCAGGAGGGAGGACCCACCCTGGGCTGTTTTGCCCTGACACATGCTGGTTGAGCAAGTTTCATATACGCCAAGACCTTCACAAAGCAAGCCTACGGCTCTTAGGGACAGGAAGATGAGGTACGGAGGTCGCTCCTGGTTATGTACCACCTCCCCGCAAGATATGCCAGCATTACATACTACAAACTTGTACTAATAAGCATTGTTTTTGAAAAGGTTGCTCTTAGGGAACTCCAAAGAATAAATATAGCATGCTGAGGTCGTGTAAGTTCCAGATTCAAGATCTTCCCTTCTAATTATCACTTTAATTATTTTCTAAATGCACATATGGATTATCAGCATATTCCATCAAGGTAACAAGTGGAAAGTCCCACTTTTTCTCCCTGCAGGGCTATAGGCTGGAATATCAAAGACTCCTGAATTGTAGCTCCCTGCTTCACACGCACCAGCCGCCTATTCTCCCAGTGAACACCGAAGCTCTCCTTTCAGAAGACATCGCCTTCACTTTCCCCAGAGCAGAGACAGCGGTCCCTGGCCTGACGGAGTATGGACCCAAGTCCACGTGTTCTAAGCACCATTCATCTGCTTGCCTCTGGGAAACTCAGGCCATCCGTGCTGCTCCAAGCTAGAGGTTGTCCAGATTCTGCTTGTTTTTATAAAAGTATAAACCAGGCCTATTTCTGAAGTACTCCAGTCAAGACTTTTGAGCCCTGTTGAGAGGAGAAAAAAGCTTTCCCTGAGTGTATGTGGGAAAGTGCTATTGGCGAAGCAAAGAACATTCCGTCCTTCACACACAAAGAAAATTCAACACGAGGCTACCCTGGCATACGTGAGGTACACATCTCAAGAGCACCCAAAGAAGAATTTGTAGGATAAGCCTCTTGTCAATAGTCCGGAAACTAAGCAGTAAGTGCACTGCCCTGAGATTTTCAAGCAGGCGGAAGTTGGGTGGTTCGGTTAACTAGAACCTCACATTGCTTTGAAACTACTGAGGAAGAGCTTAGCAGTAAATTTTGATGTTTTAAAAAAAGCCTATGAACTCTCACCAGGGCACACCATCAACACTATCCATTTTCACTCCGTTAAAATGAACTGTACCTGGTGTAAACTCTGCTGAGGACACTACAACCCCACTATTTGATCTGAAATATTTCAGGTGTTCATTAAATATTTGACAAAAGAGAGAGGGCAGAATACGAGGAAGACAGACAGCCAATATAAGCAGTGACTGCAGCATAATGAGTGAATACTGCATAAGAAGCTCCTGGTCTTCCTTACACCTTACTTCTGCCATTTACTATATTCAAGCGAGTGATTTAATTTCTTTTAACAGTCAAAAGGTCATGATGATATTAACCAACAAAGGCTGAACCAGAGATGAGGCCTTTTAATGAAAAAGCACTAAGGATCGAGGGCCAGAACTTATTTCCAAGTCCATCCCTACTGTAACTTTCAGGTTAACACTGGGTGAATTATTTTACCTTCCTTAGCCTCATCTGTCAAATGATATACTGGATTAGATTAGACCTCCTATAGCTTTTCTTTCAACTGCAATATTCTTTATGATGGAATAATTATTTGGAGTACTTTCTACTGTTGAAACATGATTTCTACACCTGTCCCTATGATTCACTTATTTAAAGATGATAATTATTGAGAAGTATTACCCAAGTCCAAGAATTTTTATTGTCACAGTTATAAGGAAGTCACACTGTAAGGTACAATACCATAATATCATTGGCACATTACCATAATCCCAATTTCCTCTCAGATATCCCATTGATTAGGAATTACCTGATGCTTTTTGTTCAATGAAAGATTATTACATTTCGGAGAATGAGGGATACTTTATATTTGTGCATAAGAAAAATGACTCTGGACACTTCTAAAAGGCATCTCCTGAGCCCCCCGCGCCTTGCGCCCAGGCAGCCAGTTCTCCGGGAGCGGCAGGGCTCCTGGGTCCGAGAGTGGGCCGGACTCATACCACCGCGA